TACCACTTGTAACACCCCCTTATTCCTACCCCAAACAATTCAATTGATCATTTAGGCATAATTCAAAATTTTATCAGAGTACATATAAGTCATGGCACAAAAAGGGGGTATGTCACATTATCACAAAAGATTTCAATGCATACAACACCTGCTCAATCAGATATGCAACAACGGTTCAACACCCACAACAAAATATTTAGAACAAGGCGGAAACATCTAAATATTCCATACTTCAAAGACATGTATTCACATATACAATTATCGTCCCACATGTTTACAAAACATAACGTCAGCAGATACATACACAGGTGTATGACAAAAGAATCAAAATAAATCCTATCTACCCGGTGCTACATATTAGAGCCGACCGACCAAAAGGGAAATGAAGTCACGCTTCACAAAAATATCCCCCGCCATCTAATCTGCAATGCCTCATAGAGCATTATAAAACAGCAGAAGGGTGAGAAACAATATCATGATAAATAATGCATAAAGGCATATATAAATATCTCATATCAACAATTATGCATTCTACGCATCCTCACCACAACTCACCTTGTACATTATAATATATCTATATACAAATATAACACCAAGCATACTCAATATGCATCATCAATGTTTATATCGTTTCATAAACATGCAACCACATATATATATCTATATATATATATATATATATATATATATATATATATATATATATATATCCTCCAGTATCTACATTATGCCAAAACATACATTTCACGTTAATTCAATAAACATACACAACATGTTTATTTCACTATACATCATATACAGATGACAAATGCAAATCATAGAGGACAACTCGTTACCCTATGTAAATGCAACACAACATCGATCTAGTCGATCGTCAGATCCTCCTAAGGATCAATCTACTCTCACCCCTCATGGGTGTTCTATCACTCGTCAGATTCTCCTAGGAATCACAACACTCATCAGACTCTCCTAGGAATCACACCATTCATCAGATTCTCCGAGGAATCACGCCACTCGTCAGATTCTCCGAGGAATCACACTGTTCATCAGATTCTCCAAGGAATCGGGTTAATCAGCAGATTCTCCAAGGAATCACATATCTCGTCAGATTCTCCGAGGAATCAATTCATTCAGCAGATTCTCCGAGGAATCACACCATTCATCAGATTCTCCGAGGAATCAATTCATTCAGCAGATTCTCCGAGGAATCACACCATTCATCAGATTCTCCGAGGAATCAGGTCATACAGCAGACTCTCCAAGGAATCACACCTCTCATCAGACTCTCCTAAGAGTCATGTCTCTCCTCAGGCTCTCCTAAGAGTCCTATCACTCATCAGATTCTCCTAGGAATTAACAACACAAGAATGTATTCTATACAATTCTTGAAATGCACACACATACACATAATGTGTTCATGCATCTTCACCTCATTCAATTTCATACAATCATCATACATCGCAATGTATATTACACGACACATTAGTCATTCACCTCATTATTATGCATTTTAAATCAATTTAAACAATGCACATATTTGCCCAAACGGCCACAATTCACAATCTAGGATTTACGCCATACGGCTACCCACAGCACAACATAGCATAATAGTGTACCTACTATTCATTCATATTAGCATGAGTCTACTTGGAGCAAGTATTAAACAACAAGCAGACAAAACAATCAAGTCAGCACAAAATTCTGCATACTGGTGCGTTCGCCAACATTCGCCTGGCGAACCCCCGTGGCGAGTGCTCGCTGACCCTTCGCCCGGCGAAGCTCCCAGCGAGCTAAGTCAGTAGCTACTGACTTGATTCGCTGACCTTCGCCAGAATGTTCGCCTGGCGAACCTTCGCTACAACTACTTCGCCTGGCGAATGTGCCAGCGAAGTCCACTGGGATTAAACTTGAATTATTCGCCAGCATTCGCTAGGCTTCGCCCGGCGAAGCTTCGCTTTTGCTCGCCTGGCGAAATCCGGCGAACCCGCGCAGAACAGCATTCTGTTCTGTCTTCTCCCTCTCATCTTCCATCATCCAACATCTCCAACAACAAAACCAGCACAAATAGCTTCAAAACATGTTACCCGACTATTCTACAGCATTATTACTCAATTCCAACCGATTAAATCCTCAATCTACCGATTATTCCAACTTTTGCCCTAGAAATGGATAGTGTAGGAAAACTACCAACAAGCCCAAACTAATACATATATGATGATATACATTATTAAGATGATAAAACTTCTCACCCTTACCTGATTATTTGCAAGCTTTGGTTGATCTTGGAGAATCTAGGTTTTCCTCTTCACTTTCTCTTCCCTTTCTCTTCTCCTTCTTTCTTTCTCTTTTCTTTCTTTCCTTTCTTACTATCCTCCTTCTTTCTCTTCTATTTTCTCTTTAATATCTTTTCCATTATTTTTCCAAAACATCTATTAATTCAATATCTCATAAATATCCCACTTATTATTAAATAGGAAATGTCCAAAATACCCTTCCAAACTATTTCCTCCGAAACCTCCCAATACCGGTTAAAAATATGATAATATGTACATATAACATATTTCCATACAAATTCTACATCCAAATATTATTCGCCCAATTTAATTAAATTGGGGCCCAATAAAAAGTGATAATCGAAATCGGGGCGTTACACGCCGCACTCCACGTAAGTTCTCGCCGAGAATACCTACTTACTACCTTTTCAACTCAACAATTTCAACATAGAATCGGAGTCGCCGCACTCCACGTAAGTGCTTCCCTATGAACACTTACTTCCCCTTGGAAACCTTGACCACGGTTAAGAAGTTTCTCACCCTTTTTGAGGGGAACTACGAATACTCTAATTCCATCCCTTACCCCGGATGCGTAGGCACAATATGCGATTTCTTGGCGAGTATACTTAGGACTAACTCCTTACGTCTCATTTCAACCCTTTAACGTACCTTTAACGGATAGATACCAAATAACGCATATTAAACAAGAAATTCCTGTAGGGTACTACATATGCTTAGGATGCTAACACCTTCCCTAGGTATAACCAACCCCCGAACCCTAGATCTCTCTGCATTGTGTTTACGATGCAAAATAGGTTTTTCTTTCTTTAACCTTTCCTTCGGATAAATCTAAGACCGGTTGTGAATTCAAGATTTGTGATTCAAATTAATCAATAATTTGATATCTTATTCTCACCGCAACAGTTTGATTCAAAGTTCATCATAAGTTTGGTGTTTATGTTAGAATATTGTAAGAGAGGTCTTGATATAAGGCTTGTACAAAGATATAACATAGTAAAATCTCTCGCATTGTAAGAGACCTTGTTTGAAAAGGAGAACTAGTATACCATATGCATGTTTATGTCATTTATTCTTTACTGCATTTTATTTTCTTTCTTTATCATTCATTTGATTATCATATCTTCTGAGAAGAAAAAAAAGAACCATAACATCATCTAAAAACGAGAAAAAGTCTTAAAACCTAATTAACACTTCTCCTCTATCTTAAGTTGCACTATATACTTACATTTGGGTAGGTCTAAATAATATATCTAACAACATCTAAGTCATCTCTTCTTTTACTCAAATGAATAAATTTGCATTCTCTATCATGTTAAATAAATGTTGCATCTCAATTCTAAAACATCTGATCAATTTTTATAACTCACTCTTATGTGTATATATTTGTGTGCATCTCAATTCTAAAACATCTGATCAATTTTTATAACTCACTCTTATGTGTATATATTTGTGTGATTTGAATGATATTCTCTGGATCTCGCTCTTGTAAGGACAATAGTATGTTTCTAGGGGAAACATAACACTTTGTCAAATCAACAAGATGTTTTCACTCATTTGCACTTAAATGACCAACAAAAGCATGACCTTCAAATCTATCAAGTAAGTCGTGGTTGTGAAGTACATGTTTTAGATCAAATGGTCGTATTAAACCATCTTTTGACGACGTTGGTCTAATTTTAAAGTGACTTAGTCTGGAAATCATCTTGAACTGCTTGTGCTCACCCAGCGAACATATGTCTTCACCTGACGAGAATGACTCAAAAAAGTTGTCTTGTTTCCGTCATGTCTTGACTGGTTGAGCTCTTTCTTTGCCTAACGAGTTCTATACTACTCTCATAATAGTGATCTTTTATCTCCTTTTTAGGATAGATTGGAGGTTTTTCATGTGTTTCCTTATTATGATTTAAGTTAATAAGTACTTATGTGAAATAAATAATTTTGTCACTTAGCAACTCACCTTAACTTATATTTTTTTCCTCAAATAAAAGTAATACAAACATCAAAATGTTTATAGTAATTCCATTATGTATATTTATGGGTTATGACAATCAAAAACTTTGAAACAAATCTTCATAATAACTTTGACACGATTCATTTAAATGCAAATTTGAATACAAACACCATTGCAGACCTTAATAATACGGTAACAAGAAACATATTCTTGCAGTTTTAAAATGAGAATAAGAAGCAAAATAATCAAATGACTATGGCACGGCTCAAAATACTTGTGCCGATAATGATGATGAGATTGGCTTCAAGTACCTGCGTCTAGGCAAATTTTGTTGTAAACGAACTGAGGAATATTCTCACCTTATCCAAGAGCAACCCCATCAAGGTGTATGTAATTCTTCTTCCTTTCATTCCCACTCATCTCTATAAACAAAATATAATGTTTAATCATTGAATTAAATGGTTATGTAGTACTCTGTAGGAGTCTAATCGAAACCCTCCCCATTCATCCCTCAATAACTTGATCGCATGCGACAGATAATTTGTTTCTTAGCAACTCATCAACAAATATGGGAATTTAGTGCGAACCCATCTCAACAATGATAAAATGTACATGGGAAAAGGAGCATTGTAAACATCAATCTAGTATTACTTTTAATCTCAGATTCTTACACTTGAAAAGAAAAAATAATAGATAGGAACATGGAACTCCCAAAAAAGAGAATATTCTACTACTAATAAACTAGATGATATTACTTATATGTGTTTGATCAGAGTCCCCATCAAACCAAGCATCTCCTCCCTCTTGGCTTGAGTTATTTGCAACTCCAAAGTCACCTGTCAAAGAAATTAGACCAAAGCATTAACAGATGTTATCTACAGCAGAGAAGGAAGAATGCATCTGATACTGACTCAAAAACATGGTTAATCACATAAGTGTTAAATCTTTTCAACTATTACATGGGAATTTAGAAGGAATGTAAACATTTTTGATGTTCTGAATAATAGTCTTAGTAGCACCAACACCTCCGAAAAAAGACGTGTCTGTCCGGTGTCTATGTCGGACACCGATACCGACACGACGCCAGTACTGACAATTGTAATTACATTCAATTTATTCAAATTATTACCAATGTCAGTGTCGTGTCCGTGCTTCATAAATAATAGTTGAAACAAATTAGTGAACATAAGAAAAACTTCATTTCTCAAAATATTAAGTTCTATGACCACTGCAAATTCTACTTTAGCTAGATTCATTAAGTCACAACAATATTTGCATTTACCAGTTCGTGTAATCGGCAGGAAATAAAGTGCTTATTTTGTCAGAGTACATTAGATAAACTGAAAAGCTTGAATATTATATCTATATAACAATTGTGAGTAGATTTGATTCTTAAAACTACAAATAACAACTTGATTGCAATTCTTTCTGAAAAGTTGAAAATAAATATGCTGACCTCTTTGAAAATGTTGCTATGTGATGTTTCCACAAACCCCTAGATCAAAACCAAAAGCTAAGTCAGCAAGAGAGAATTTAACAACTAGAAACGATGATTCTTAATACTAGAGTACATGAAGTTTAAAGATAGAGAAGTTTTAGACAAACCAATTTTTTGAACAAGTTGATGGATTCTACATTTGAATCACCAATTTTAACCTCAAAGAGATTGATCTTTAACTTTTCAACAGCAAAGGCCATCATCATCATAACAGACTCCTTTCCAAGTCCTTTGCCACGGCTATGCTAACAAAGCAACAAAGAGATCAAACAATCTCACAACTCGCATTAATTGGAAATGGTGTTAATTTCTAGGTCAAACATGAATTTGAAAATAGTTTACCTGGTTGGTTCAGCAATCATAATTTCAATCTCGGCGATTTGAGGATTATTCATGTCATTCATGAAAATATTCACATCACCAACCATGGCTGCGCATATATTATTATTAGTCTACAACAATACCAAAATACTACGGTAGTAAATAACGAAAGACGTTTTTGACCTTCGACGTGAGATTGACCGTGTGAAAAGGTTCCAAGTAGCAAATCCTTATCCAAGACAATGAAAGTCTCTTTGTTGAGATCAGATGACCATGAGAGTTGCATCTGATACTCTTGTTGGAGAGAAAGGGGTTCGGAAGCAGTAGCTTGAAGAAGAGAAGGGTTTTGCATCCATTCGTGATATTTGGGGACATGGGATTCCATGTAAGGGACTAATATGACTTTTTCTCCTTCTAAACTCACACTCCCTTTCTTGATCGCCGCCATCTTACTCCGCCACGATGCTCGGAGCAATTTCTCCCGCCTACCCTCACACTCTCAGACTCGCTATTTAATATTTTTAGCCACTCATTTCCCCTTCTTTTTTTTTTAAGGCTTACGTGCATGTTTTTAACTTTTTATCTCCTATTTTAAAATTTAATTTTTTTGGTTTCTCAATTTCATTTTTCTTACAATTTTTTCTCTATCCACTTTTGCTTATATAACTTTTTATCTCCTATTTAAAATTTTATTTTATTTTCTTAGTTTCACTTAAGAATTTTTTTTAATCCATTTTTTATATATGACAATGATTATTAGATAAAAAAATATTTTTAATTACATGATAGTTAGTGTGTAAGCTAAGAAAAAATTAATTAAACTAACAATTCAAATCAAACAAAAAAGAAAAAAATCGATTGTTTTTATTTTAGTTTAAAAATTGAGTCAAACTAATAAAAATCGAGATAGGTTTGATTCGATTCTTGATTTTAGTTTTTAGGAACGGATGATTATAAATACCTACTTAATATTTTATTTAACATATCATTAGGCCCAAATTTTGTGTATGTCAAACACTTAGTTGTGTAGGCTCATTATCTAATCCATCTTTATTTACACTTCCTTTCTTTGAACAAAATAGAAACCATAAGTCATAAAAAACATACTCTCGCCAAATTGCTGCTCTGGTTGCTCGCCACCAATGCTTTTTCTGCCATTGTCATTTTTATAGGTTATGGTTGTCTTATTCATGTTCAAGTTGTATTCGTTAGTTTTCATCTTTTTTTACTTTTTATGTTTCTTCTTCAACGAATTTCCTTATAATCTTGTTACAAAATAGTTTTAATATGTGTTTAAGGTATGAAACATGTTACTTTATGTCTGTTGAAACCTTTTATTTTTATTGTTGTGTTTTATTTGTTAAGATTTCTAATTCATTCTCAACCTTCTCATGTCAAGTTCCAACTTTTGTATTTGATAGGAGACTTATTTCATAATGTAATAAAAATTATGTCAATGTTTTCTATGGATCAAGAACAACTTGTGAGTTGTTTGAAAAGTATATCATGAAATATATTATATAAAATATATTATTTGAAAAAATAATAGCTTAAAATACACCAAAAAACATGATAGCAAATAATACACAGATGAATATAATGTTTAGAGAAAAAATGTTGTAAATTGATCAACCAAATCAAACCAAACCGGTTAATTTGGTTTGATTTCATTTTTAAAAAATACTAAAAATCGAACCGAACCAAACCGATAGAGATATCATCGGTTTCGACAATGCTTTGACTTAAAAACAGTCCAAACCGAATCAATTACACTCGTTATGGTAGTGATTCCTAAGATAATTTATTAATTAATATTGTTTGCATAATAAATAAATTACTTTAAAATCAAGCATTGATGGTCCATTAGAAAGAAATAGAAGTTTGGTTCCTCGAGACTTCCACTCAAACAATAATAAAATTTCAACTTAGATTGAAATTGTTGAATATGATATTATTCATACACCTCTATATGATATTGAAATGTTAATGATGACTGCAGCAACATACAATTTGCAATGAGGATATCATCCTTTATTGGTTATTTTGGGAAATTAATATAGGAGTTAAGATTTACGTACTAACTAGATATAAATTTTTAAAGCAATGGGGCATTGGTAGAAAATATGAGAGGAAAAGTTAGTATTCTTATTAAGTTACAGACAGGTGGTAAGAGACTGTTAAAGAAGTTTTTTTTACTAGGGAGCATTGAACATTGCGGGACTTCCTTTTTAGAGCAACACCTTTGTGAGAGACACACCACATATTCACCAAAAATCTTAAGGTCGTAGGTGTGTGGATTCTCCCACTTGTAAATGCTCAAGTCATCACATTCCTATCCAATATGGGACACTTATCCACACTACTCACATTTGTTATACTTAACACTCCTCCTCAAGTGTGAGTATATCCATAATATTTCCATAATGCTCCCTCTTAAGCGGAAGTTTCAACTGTGCAACATCACTTTCTATTGTGTGTTTCTTGCTCACCACCTTTGTACCGTTGTTGACACTCTTCAACGGGACACCTCCTAACCACTACATGTATAGAGTACTTTTGATACAAGTAAGTTGGTCCTTCACTCGAAACAAAGGCTCATATACCACTGTTATGGGAGTTTTTTTACTAGGAAGCATTGAACATTGTGGGACTACCTTTTTTTAGAACAACACCTTTGTGAGAAAGACACCACATATTCATCAAAAATCTTAAGGTGATAGGAATGTGGGTTTTCCCATTTATAAATATGCAAGTCACCACATTCGTATCCAATGTGGGACGATTATCCACACTACTCACACCTGTTATACTTAATAGAGACATCCTTTAATTTATGAAGAGTTTGTTATGAATGAGCCTCCACGCCAAATAGAGGAAGAAAATGATAGTTTATCATGCATATTTTCTTAGTCTTTATATATCTATGCATGACAACCCTATGATCCTGAGCGAGGAAAGACTCCTAAATGTATTTGAAGGCATCATTTAAAGTAGAAAGGGATCTAATACCTAAGCCACCATCTTTAAAAGTTTATTTGGTTCAATGGATAATAGGACTTTAATAAAGGGGAGATGAGGAAATATATTTTAATTAAATGTATGTTTGATTCAAAAGAGGGGAACGGAAGAGAAGGGGAAGGGGTGAGAAATGTATTTTAATTAAATGTATATTTGGTTCAAAAGAGGGAGGAGGAAGGGGAGAGAGGATTTTTAATAAAAAAAAACATTTGATTCATAAGGGGAGCGGATGTGCTTTAAAACTACTTTACTTTTTTACTCTTAAAATATTATAAAACTAATGGAAAATAAAATAATACAAAATGATATTCACAAAAAAATTATCAATTCATAAACAACATAGACAGTCAAATCCAAAATGTTTAATATTTCAAATACTCTTAAATATAATAACGTATAAATAACATATTAAAAATTTCATTGAATCATTATATGATCAATCTTCAAATGAATCATTTTTTCATCTTGATGATCCTTATAATCCTATAAAATATGTATGAAATTAAATTCTAGATAATATATAACTCATATACTACTATTATATATCGATTTGTCATACAACACAAAACTTATGAAAAAATTAAGTTATTACAAACAAAATAGTAAATAAAAATGAATAAATAAAACACATGAAAAATCAGAAATAAAGTTGAGTCATAGTAATAAAAATAATGGAGTTGTCGTTAAAAATATTGAAAAATTCTAATAAGGTGACAAATTAACGTATAATATTTATTAAGGACAATTTAGGATTATAATTAAAAAAATAAGGGTAATTTTATCAATATAATAAAAATACATTTTATTATAATTATTCTCTCTCCCTCCCCTTCAAAAACCCCTTAATACAAAAGGAACGAAAAAGTGCTCCATGAGAGATTCAGATTACTTCTCTTCCATTCCTCTCATAAAAAAACGAAGCAAACATACTTAATTTAACATATTTCATCCCATCCTTTCCCTTCCAAAAATCCTCTAACCAAACGGATCCTAAAGGGCTTGCACACATTGAACCAAGAAACAATTATCAACTTTCTAGTCTCATGGTTATCACTATGTTTCTAAAATTCTTTTTAAGTTCATTTGTAAGAGAGGTGGAAAAAGCATGGATGGTGAGAGTGTAAATGATCATGTTGTGTAGAACACTTTTCACCAATTGGAATATACATGTTACTAAGGGAAGATTTCTAAGTTGTCAACTTAGTTTTCATTCTATCTACCACACATAGCTGGTGATTTAATATAGGTTTTCCTTTTAAAATAGGCACCCCTATGTAGATGAAAGGAAATCTACCGATTCTAAAACCAAGATGGGCAAAATTTTGAATTATTTTGGAATGAGGGATGAAGGATGAGTAAATAGTAGACTTTTGAGGATTACGTTAGACGACGTCACAGATCTAGAAGAGGGTTGAATAGATCACTTATTTAAAACAGAGTTGGCGCTTATCAAGTTTTTGAAAGTTTTGGATTTTAAAAATATTTTAAGCGGAAGCGGCCGAGGAACAAAAATATTCGTCTATAACGAACCGTTGCCGAGAGGACCGGATATGCGTATAGCCTATGATTTAGACAAAAAATGGAATCACTACTTAGATCGTATATCAAATAGACTTATTTCACTTTTAGTTGGAGAAATTTTCAATGTGCTGAAAAATAATACTCAAATTGAAAGAGCAGCTCAAAAGATGTTTGTTCACTCAATTGATCAAACAGTTGGTGTACGCTGCACGCTACATGTTTTTCTATGTGTAGTTGGAGTGCTAGAGGTTTTTCCCTTACAATCAATGATTGTATTGAGGTTTTTTAATTTGCTCAGCACTTCACAAACATCAAAATTTGATCAAATCAATTGCTTGAACATGCACATAAAATATTCAGCAAATTAAGATAAAGCAAAGTAAAGAGATGGACACATATTTGTTGAGGCAGTTCCCCCGTTGTTCTCGCTCGGGGTACGTCTGCCCTCAATTCTAAAACTAGAATTGAGCTCTGTATATATAACATGTTACAGTTAAACGTTTACAAGAGAGTCGATAGCAATCGAACAATCAAACCACATGTTAATGTAGATCTTACGCCTCTTGTCCCTTGATTCAAGTTGAATCAAGTCGTTCGAATGCGATGAATAAGCTTTCGATTGCGGAAAATCCGTTGAACAACCCTTGGTTTTCAATCTTGCCCGACTGACTTCAGACAACCACACTTCGAACCCCAAATCTTTCACTCACGATCCTCCGTCTACCGTTACTAAGTTGAACGAGACCATCGCTCTTCAACTACCTTCACTCGGCTGAATCCCTGATGAATTGATTTATGCAAAAAAAAAAAACCAAAATCAACAATTCTTGGAGGATAAAACCGTAAAGGTTTTATTCAAGAAAAGCCCATCTATTTTTCACCCCAAATCTGATTATCACAATCTTCCGT